CTTCATTAACTCCACCTCATTCTTATTATTTCACCTGCATTTATTTGTTTCATTTCCTGGGCATTTTGAGTAGAGTATAGGATTTCAAGTTATATTTAAAGTTTAGAGTAAAGCTGGTGTAGTTTTTGCGCGTTGGCGCTTGTTAGCCTCATGTCCAACCTTAATTCTATTTCCGTTTTACTATCAGTTAGTAGAAGAGACGTAGTTTAGGAATGGGTCGACTGGGAGTCGGATACAGACCTCCAACACGACTGACGAGCATTCTATCACACTCAAACATCAGTACATCTCACTTGTATACAAGCTAATAAAATGGCAGATCACGTTTCAGCATGCAATTACAACAAACTTTATAATTTAGAAGTTAGGTAATTATCAGAAAAATTATTCATTTTTGGAGTTGGAACTAGAAAATTGAAATACACGTAAAAAGAACTTTCTGAATAAATAATTTACACGAATACAATTGCGATTTTAATGCGTTCTTTAATTTTATGTCGTATTACGTTTGCAGATTTCTGTATTTGCTTAAATAACATTGATTCTCAATTTAATTAAATCACTATGCTGATTGACTATGAAAGTGAACGCACTTAATAAAACACATTCAATATATATATATATACATACATAACACGATAAGTCTTATCAAACCAGTAACTAACAGCTGTTGTAAAACAAGTTGGTGTATTGGCCTAGGGACTTAATGCGGATAACATCAGTCGCTGGATTTGAGTCTCAGTGCGGAAAACTACCTTTCACTTGGAATAAGGCAACATAATCACATCAGTTGCAAAATGAAAAAAATCCACATTACATTATTATTTCCTGTGGTTCCAAGTGGAACGTAGGGCTTCAACAACCTATCTCCACTTTTTTCTTTTCTCTGCTGTTCTCTTCAGCTGGCTTCCCGAATACCGGAAATCTCTTATCTCCTCTTCGCTACAGAATTTCCTTCATGTCGCTGTCGCACTGAGAACCCCGTCGTCACTTCCTGTTGGGATTCCACTCGAGCGATGGCCTGGAGCGCTATGTCATTTGACGGCCTCTTCACTGCGTGCCATCTCCATTTTCTTTTACATATTTGTTGAGCAGTACGCTTTTGATTGTTTTGTTCCCAGCCAGAGTTTCTTGTTGCTAATTATTTCTGGCCCACATACTGAGTAATGTACAGAAGAAGACTTTAAAAGGGAAGAAAATTTTCTTTGCGAGAAAATACTTTCCACAACAGTTGTACAACCGCATTTATATTTGACAAAAAAATTCATAAAACTCCTCAGAAATGGCTCACTCTCTTCTAGAAAATGTACAGTGATTTCTGAGGCGTAAGCTAGAAGCGAATGACTAAGTGAAGTTTGGAAAATCGAGATGGAAGTTAGGGTTACGTAATAGGTGTGAAAAACTGCTAGTTAATCTAAATGTTCAAAATGAACACATGGTAAACTGTTTCTATAAGCTCTGTGTGAAAAATACAATACTGTTAATAAACAACAATAGTTATTTTTTAAATCATGGAAAATTCCCATTGTAACATACAGAAAATCAAAACAAATGATTCAGCGAAGAGACTTTTTTCAACGAATTTATCATCAAGCTGTACAATCGTACATATATATGGTTTTTAAGAAGTTATATCCGGTAAGGGAATTGAATCATAGATGTGAATGCATAAAATAATAATAAAATGAAATGCAATTAAGACTAAAATGTTTGTGATTATAATCGTAGTTAAATGTCAAGTGGCAAAGCAAATTAATGTCATATGTAGAATAATTCACAGGATGGACAGAACTTGGAAAGGGTATGCAATTATAAGATTAGTAGACAAATCGAATAAAATAAAAACGTTACGTAATATTAAATTCTATGCTACTAAATTTCACACAATAATTTGTGCTCGAAACGTTCGGAATATGCCATGAGGACAGAATTTAAACTTCTACCTTGTACCTTACTGGAAAATAGTCATCCATTTTAGGTTTATCGAAGTAAAGATGAGACGAAAACTGCCAACGCCACCACGAGTCGCATCTGTTCCTAAGAATATTCAAAGGTGATAATGAAGCAGAAAGTCTTAGAAACCGTCTATCTAAATGTCATAAGAATACAATTCAAGGAGTCATCTTACGTATCACATTTTTCAGCAGACACTTAATCCATCCATGAGTTAAGGATAAGATACGCGCTTTCAGCCGTTTCAGTGTATATTATAAGTTTACTTGTTCCTGTGGAGCAAAGTACGTCGGCTGAACATAATGTCATTTCTAAAAGCATACTCTGGAACATTGTCCAGCCTGGCTAACCAGAGGAAAAAAGAAGGACACTAGTAGTTCTATCCTTAAACACCTTGTCGACTCTTGCAGAGAGTATCTCTGCATCACTGATTTAAGCACTACGTAGAGTTCGTGAATATCATACGAAAAGACTTCGAATACGCTATTTATGCATAGCTGAATCACGGGTTACTCGTAACAGGGGAGCGGACCTTTGCATTTAAAAGCACTGCATACTCTCACTAGCCTTACCATGGTCAGAGTAACCTTCTTACTATAATTTTGTTTCATTTCACTGTCACAGTTTATCATGATTATTATTTTACAATTATTATCGTTATTATTACTATCGCTGTTGTTGTTTATCAACAATATAGAAACAGCTTGCCATGTCTTCATTTTGCACATTTAGACTAACTAGCGAAGTTTCACACTTATTATGCAACCTCAACTTTCATCTCGATTTTTCAAGCTCGACTTAGTCATTCGCGTCTGGTTTACGCCTCACGAATTGCAGTACGTTTTCTAGAACAGTCAGCCACTTATGAGTAGTTTTATGAATTTTTTTGTTGAATATAAAATTCGGTTGTACAACTGTTGTGGAAAATATTTTGTCGAGAAGAAGGCTTTCTTCGCTTTTGAAGTCTTCTTTTATCTATTATATATGAACTGTCATTATCAACAATGAAGGGTTGTGTTCGAAACTTTATTATCTACTAAGTAATAATGTTTCACTGTGATATAAATTCTCAAGTGTTGGATTCGAACCAAGGTTCTAACCCAGGACCTTCTGGTTTCAAGGCCAGTGAGCTATTTCATAGACCATTAAGCCACTGAGACCCTATCATTCAATGGCCAGCCCATGAATTCTAACTCCTGACAATTCATGACATAGCGCGACCACTTCGCAATGTCTTATCAATCAATTACTGCCTTATCTTCAAACTGCTGTACCCTAATGGTCATAGCTTCCCTAAATTATAAAAAGTAATACAGTTAGTTGGAGATAGAGAGAAATTGATTACTGAATCCCTGTTCATCGAGTCTACACTCAACACATACAACAGAAAGGGCTCAATGCAAATACCAGAGATATGCATGGAAGATATTGTGACCACCAGTCATATCAGAGGAGGATAATACATAATGTTGAAATGTATTCAGATCACATCATAACATTCTAACAAGTTACTTATTATGACTATAAAAACACTCGTCTCATTTCCCATCTGATTGTAATTGATCAATTACACTCATATTATTATTTCTGAATGTACATTATTCTATACTGAATTTCATTCAAATGTCTAATCACAGTTTCACTCATGTATATAAATGAAGTAAGACAGTTGTGTGAGTAGTGCCTTGATATGATTATGAGCAATAATATTACTGTATAACAGTAATGTGTAATTTCATCAAAATAAAATCTTATCTAATAATGGGGCACTTTTTTCGTTTTGTTGATTCAGTCTTTATATCCTTCCCTTATTAAACTGAATCTTACTATTCATTTCACTATGAACAATTTCCGGTATTAGCTTATTTGTCACTTGTGCTTAATGAATTCCATATAATTTTTGTAATACTATCTTTTCATAATTATCAGCTTGTTGCATAGTGTTTTAATTGCTTACTAATACGAAGTCATACGAAGTAGTTATCATTAGTGATTACACTGTAATACAAAAGAATTAAGTGTTTAGGTGAAAGTTATTGTTTGTGGCTAGGAGTAGATTCCAGATGTGTATTTCGGGATTAATTACATGAATCTACCTGCATCCTTTCAGTGAGTGATGGCATTACCCTTCAGTAGTTGAACTAAGCACATATGATTATTTCTGACGTGTCCCAGGAAGCACAAAACACGCTCTCTGAATAGCGTTTTATTTTGCTACACCAAAGAATTCCTCATGTATACAACGAATCAAAACATTGTTTATAAAAAAAGATTTCTTCATCCTAACATAGTAATATATATTCACAAAACTCAACGCTAATAACCTAAGGAAATTTTGATAAATGCGTAACTGAGTTAGACAATGGTAATTAGCATTATAATACATTTTGAATGTTGGCTTGCAGGGATCTGACTGATTCAAATTTCTGTTACAAATGGATATCAGTTAGAGGGCCCTTAAAAACTACACATTACTTGACAGTTGTTTCATCCTTGCTAGGGGCTCTTCAGTAGTTCACGAATTAACAGCAGTTAGAATTTATGGAGTGAGTCGGTAGCACAGCGGTATAATGCTCGCCGATCACACCACAGATGGTCCGGCGTTCGATCTCCAGTCGGCCCACTCATTTACCTCACTAAACCAGTAATAAGACTGGTAAAGAGGGAAGGTTGGGCTGGGCGTGAGGCTAGCAACCCCATCCCGTAAAAATAAACACCACTGCCATAGAAATTTCAAGCCTGTAGCTTGAAGCTGCCCTGTGTTACACACTGGAAACGTAAAGGGATAACAAAATAAGAATTCATGGACTATTAGATTCCATTCCAGTAGCTGGATGCTCGACACTTTTGCCTTGAGCCCTGAAGGCTCTGGGTTCGACCCTTTGTAAGGTGATCGACGCGTACGATTGAAAACTACTTAAATAGGATAAAACACCTGTCCAGTACTTTCTGGCTTTTTAGTAGTTCACTCTCTAACTGCCAACAACTCACAATCTAATTTGAAATCATAATAATTTTTAAGAAAAAAAAATTCCAGTGGTACTTACTGTATTCAAATATTCATTCAAGTGTATAATTAAATGAGGTACATCGAATGCTCTACTCAGCGACTGATGTGATGTTTGACGATATTTTCTGCACCAATCTGTAGGATTTGCTGCACCATGGATAGCATGACCACTGGCCAGATGATAAGAGACAATGCTAAGCAGAATAATAAATGTCACGTTCTTCATATGGAGAATATGATTTCTTCTTGAAAAAGATTTCTTCATTTCGGCTGGGATTTTTTATTAATTTATCCTAAGTGATTTCGAAATATTCATACAGCTGAATGTCTTTAAAAATTAGCAGTTATTAAATGTTCAATATGTCGGTGAGAGACAGAGAAAGCGGTCAGTTCAACAGTTAATTTTCGTTACGAGCATTACTTTTCTAGAAGATAGTATCTTGTTGTGACTTCTGTACTACTCTTCCGAGGTACAGAATACGATGAAATGAAGTGAAATAAAATGGGTTATTGTCAAATAAATAAATAAATAAATTTGTAAAAATGTTCATTTTATCTAATTGCCGGAAGTTATAATTACCATTAAATGATTATAATAAGCATACTGGAGTAAAATAAGCTGTTGCCAATCTAGTGAAAATTATAAATTTTTCTAGTTTAATAATGGTTTCAGCATGATTACTGATACATATATAGATGGGCATTTTATGTTGTAAATTTATGGGAGAAAACTGAACATAATCCTCAACTATTTAAATACTGTTTAATTATTCAGTAGTCTGATTTAGATAAACGCTATTTCCTGGACTCCGTTTTCTTCTGGATGCACAATTACTCGTAGGCTGTCATCTCCCTCACGTTACCCTTAGAAATGCATCCTTTCGTTCCTTACTCGGGTTCTACTGGAGGGCCTTGCACACAATGTCCATTTCCATTTCCTTTGGCATATTTTTTCCATAACAGGTTCTTGGTTAGTTCGTTGCAAGTGTTCTTTATCGCTTAACTCTTCCAGCTGGCCATCTGGCAAGTACCCATTAAAAAAAACGGGATTTAATTAAATCACTTGCCACCCGCATCAAACGTATCTGTAGTCCCGACGTTCTGGAAACAGAATTGGATATTCTAAGAGAAATTTTCATTCAAAATGGATACCCAATAAGATTCACAGGCAAAAACATCAAACCAAGAATTCGGAGAAACGAAACTTTAATTGCGTCTAAAAAGAAACTCCACATCATCTTGGATTTCAAGGGAGATTTAGCAAGCGATATTCTCAAGAGAAGGATCACATCATCTCTGAGGAGAGCATTCTTTATAGCAACGATAAGAATAGTTTTCTACAGGCGCCCATCGATCTGCAGAAGACCCCACATCTGACCACTTCTATGTGCATATACCAGTTCACCTGCTGAAATAGAGCCAGGTGCATCGGTCGTTCGATGTGCACCCTGTCCAAGAGGATTCAAGAACACTATCCAGCATGGTTGCGGAAAGGTAATAGTCGTGCAATAAGGAGTGCGATAATTGAACACCTGGTTAACACTGATCATTCCATTTCAACAAACGCCTTCTTCAAAGTAATCTACAGAGTCAAGAACAACCTATCAAAGGCAATACGGTTTCGCCTCCTTTGTATTGCTGAAGCTCTGGCCATTCACACAGAAAAACCGGAGCTGTGCATACAAAAGAGGATAACTCAACCACTTCTACTGTCATGGTAACACCTTTTTTATTTTATTTTTTTTCTATTTTGATGACCCAACCCCTACTCCTACAATTCGTTAACTCTCGCATTCTGCCTATTATTCTCTATTGTTCCCCCTTAGTTTATCCAGGGCTACTGAAGAAAGACTAGACCTTATTACACAGGATGTTAAAGGTTGTTAGCAGGGTAAGCAACGTGCCAATTAACCAGCTTGTTAATATTGTGGTCGACAGGCACATGGACTCATGTGAAAAATGGGCCAAATCCATTTTAACTGACTCGCACCACCCTCTTCACTCACAACTCTCCACTTGCATCTCATCAGGTAAAACCAGAAGCCTACATAGAAAGCTATATGCTCACACTAGCAAGTACAAAAACTCAACCATACCCTACTTAGCTCGTGTTCTGTGCGATAAAGAAAGCATTAGGCGTCACACCTATAACTCACTAGATAGTCAGTAGTACAACTGGACCTCGTCTTTCCAACTCATATCATTTATAGGTACAACATTGTCTTTCTTTCTTTTCCTTTTCTCTCTCTCCCTTTTTTCCGTCATATGCTGCTTTGTTTCTTTCTCTCGCTTACGCCAGTAAATATGACAGCTCCTACTTTTCTAACACCTTCAAACACTGTTCAGCTTTACCTTTGCTACCGACATGCCAATATATTGTTGTCATAATGAACTGAGATTTCCTTAATCTATGTAGAATTCTATTTATTGATAATGTGCTATCTGGATGCAATACTGTAGTAAAAAATGCTGATAATTCCATTCTGTATCACAGGTACAGTTTATGGAATAAAGCAAATTATTATTATTATTGTTTGTTTGCCTGTTTTATTAATTGCTTATATTTCTTGTATTCATTTAGAACTCTTGCGTAACTTCGTATTCTCTTCTTTGTTCCTATGTGGATCCTGAGTAAAACTCACTCATCAAACTATTCATATTATTACATAACTTCTTTTAACAACTGTTTATGACAACTCATCACCTTTGTTACTACCCTTATTTCAATAACACCTAATTCTCTTGACTGATTTTGCATTACGTAACTCCAACTATCAATCTTCACCTGTTTAGTTAAAATAACTATAACCAAATGTATTTTTGTTTGATAAACTTATTGTACACATATATACAAAATAACATATATATTTGTGATTGTACAGCTAAGAAAATAAATTCGCCAATAAGAGACTCTTCGCTGACCTACGTGTTTTGTTTTCATTAATGCCTGGATGGGGATTATACATGAATTGGGAAGTATTATTATTATTAATATTGTTATTCGTTTCATGCGTTCGTCTTTATTTTGAACATAGGGCTCCAGTGGCACATTTAGATTGCACTCAGTAGTAATATGCCTTCACTATCATCTAGTTCCACCACTATCAATCGGTAAGCTGTCATTTGCTCACCACATGTCATCCTGCATTTCATCCTCGAGTGTCTAGTCTGCTGCGTCCCATTTGGGTTCCACTTGAGGGTCTCATGCCTGGTGTAAATAGAAGGCGTCCTCAGAGAATGTCCACTCTGTTTTCATTTCCTTCATGACTGGTACGCTGATAGAGTTTCTTGTTAGATCAGATAGACGCTCAAGAGACCACTGAGTGGCGTTACGCGCCACTAGTGATACCCGTATGCATAACAACGGTTTAGGTGCCTGTCAGAGGGTCAGGTTCATACATTGTATACGAATGTGTTCAATCTTAAGGGTACACTTTCAATGATAGAATGGAAGCATTTTTGGGTATGAGTCACTAGTCCAATTATCTTAGACACTGATTCATAACTTTTATAGGGAAATAATATGAACTTTGCAGCCTTAAAAAAGATCACTGTTACAAATGCAAGTCAGATGTTGAGTAAAAATCTCAGCCTCTTCGTCTATCTACTAAACTAGTGCGTGCGGGGGATGGGAGGCACTGTGTTTGGGACATTATATTTCCTTATGTAGATGTATATTTGTCAAGGTTTGGAGTTTAATAAGCATTAGTGCTGTTAAGGTTGGCGGCATTTCAGTGGAAACGGATCTGTAGAAATACAAAGAAAGCGTTCATCTTGTTCATTGAACAAAACCCTCTTTGAAACCGACCTTCCACTTTCTTTCTTAACAGAACCTGGGATTCATATGAACACAAAGGATAAACCACCAATTCTATCCACACCATTACTTATCTGTCAATTCGCCTGGTGTTGTGAAGCGGTAGTACTCAGAGTCTCCTATCCAAACGTACCATCGAATGCTTATTTTCATGACCTTACAGAGAGGAAAAAAGATCTCCTTACAGTTCTTTCCTGGACATCCAATCAAGTTACGAACCAACCTTCAAATCATCTACAGAATACACAGGAATGTTGTCAAAGAAGTACGAATCCAATTTTGGAGAAGACTTAGCTAGGGGACATATTGTGTGATGACTAACAGACCTAGAGTTATTACCCATTTACATAACGGCTGAGAACTATGTGAACGATTACAGTGAGAAAATCGCCTAAGCAGAAAATGGGCCCTGTAAATATCTGACTTGCATAAGTCGCGCTCAAATACAGTCCCGCTTTTCAAACTGTCCAGATGATCCCGTTTGGCTTGCCATTCACAGGTTTGCTAACCTGCGTGCACCTGGCTTTGAACTAGAATGTACTTATGCTGATTAAGCAGACTTATGTGTGGGTTTCAGCGTTTAACCTTTAGTTCTATACACCGAGGAAATATGTGTGTGGGATTATATGCACACATCTTTGAGTGATAGGTCAGTCAGCACATGGCTTGATGGAGAGTGCAGCCAACTGTGTAATGTGAAATGAATACTGCTATGAACACTGGCCTCTTGAACGTACATTGCGGTTACGGTATATCCTGTGGCTACGTCTGTCCTAAGGTTAGCCTTTTATCATGATTCGCTTCAAGTCATGGATTGTTTGAGTGACTTTCAGCATGCCTACCCGTATATCAGCTCAGGTTGTTGGTCAAAGTGTCCCTCGTAATTTCTTCAGACACAATCTGGAAGAGGAATTCGGAATAAGTTCCTTGCGGAGAGTTCCTGTGCGTCGGTGGCACAGTGGTTAGGACTCTCGCCGACCATGCACATGGTCCGGGGTTCGATCCCCTGCCGGCGCACACCCGATATCTATGGTCGGCCTGGAATTGGGCTACCGATATCCATGCTGAAAATTCCACACTTGTACTGAAAATACGGTGTGGAATCAAGCTGTAAATCAAAATCAAAATAAAATAAATACATGACTTATATTTACACTTAAATACCTATTAATAAATACCTCAATTGGAGCTCTATACACAGTCTATGGTCGATGCCGAATGTGCGTAAGGCGCATAACCAGTTTTATCCCTAATTTGGATGAGTTGTAGATACACAATGAACTTAATCATATCACTATATGGAGGAAAATAAACCAACAAAAACTACTCTCGTAACTGCTGACTCAACACTGGAATAGTAATTTGGAGACCTTTAGCTCAAATCCTACTTTCTATCATCACTCATTACA